GTTGTGCCTGTTCTGTTGTCTTTGAGTTCAGCAGTCTAGGACAGACTCATGTTTCCTTCACTTCTGTGGTGTGCTTTGCACACTGACTGGCTCACTGCCCGTGCACTCCTGAGCATGTGGGCCAGGCTGTGTGTGCTCCAGGTGCTCTAAATGGTGGGATTCTGAGGCTATAGGCATGTGCCTGACATCATGGAGCAGACTGCTCTTTTGTTGGTTTGTTTTTAAGGCAGGGTTTTTATGTGGAACAGTCCTGGAACTTCCTCTGTAGACCAGGCTGGCCTTGAACTCACAGAGATCGCCTGCCTCTGCCTCTCTGAGTGCTGGGATTAAGGCATGCACCGTCTTGCCTGGCTGAAGAGACTACTCTTAAGGCTCAATTCTTAGTATACTTTTCGAAGTGGTGTGTTTCCTGTTTATGTGTCAGTGAGCTGTGCAGCTGTGCAGGATTCGCTTTTCTTCTCTGTGTCATGCAGCTTCTTGTTGCTGTTTGCTTGATTTCTCTTCATTTCCTTCATGGATTTCAAGAACTCTCTTTCTGCTGTTCTCTTGGGATAAATCCCTCTTGTCTTATTCAGACTCTGACCTCCATTGGCTCACACAGAGGCAGCCTCTGGACTGCTTTCTTACTTGGAGGCTCAAGTCCTGGTCATAAAAGGGAGTTAATTTTAGTGCCTTATACAGCGGGGCCTGGTAGTCCTGCAGTGGCTAGCCATGCTGCAGAAGCAGAGAACAGTGTGTGATGGCTGCCGCAAGGTTCAGATCTGGTGCTGAAGGCCTGGGGCTCCCGGAGAGTGGCTGGCATTAATTCCACACTGGACAGTCGGGGAAGCTGGGACCTGGTGTCAGAGCAGACTCAGGCAGGGCGAAGCTGCGAAGGCGGCAGTGTGCGCTGCTCTTTCTGGGCCTTGAGGTTGCCCATTGGAGCGTGCTCCCCATTCTGTGTTCAAGCCTCCCCCACAGATGGTCCCAAAGCTGTGTTTCTCACCTGCTTCTAAACCCATCAGGTCTGCAGGCCAGACCAAGTGTTATAACAGGCAAGCTGTATTTTTCAAAAATATCACAAAGGACAGCTCCCCCCACCCCAAATAAACCAACTCTTTTCTAAAGAAAGGGCAGCTTAACTATTTTACATTAAGCAGACAAAACAATTTGCAAAATGCATTGTGTAACACTGGTTTCTCTGTAATTCTAACACAGGACTTTCACCGGGGGAGCGCCTACCTGTCTGATGTTGTCTTCGGGCTTTTGTTTTCTCCTCTGAGCCCCATTGTCTGCTATCAGGCTTTGTCTGTCCATCTAGAGAGCTCGTCTCCCTGCAGTATCTTTTCTGTTCTTGTCTCTTTGAACCTTTCTCTAGGAAACAAAGGCCTTTGTAGGTTTCTTAACTGTTCTAAGAGACCACTTCCCCGCCCACCAGCCCTACCTCACCCCCTGAGATTAATGAGCAGCACCTCTACATTTGGAACTGGACAGTTCCCAAGGGATATTTTGCTTTTCTCTTTTTTTTCTTTCCCTTCTCCATTAGTTGTTATGTTCTATGAAAATGTAGTTCAAGAAATGAAATCTAAGTCTTAATTTTGAAATGGATTATGAGTAACTTATCATTTAAGTATTTTATCAGATTTTAAGTTACTTCTCCACGTCCAGGGCTGGTTGGCATTTGCTGGAAGAGTCTGGTTATTTATCATGTCTTATGCAGGTAAACATTGTTTATCAGTTAGTCAGGAAAGGTGGTTCTTTTTGTTGTTAGCACCCATAACTAAATGGGGAAGCTGCTAAGCTTCCGGAGTCTTCCTTATCTGCTGTATCCAGCACATGGGGACTCAAGCTCTAGAGCAGACGGAAGTCTTTGTCTTTGTCTTTTGTGACTGGCCACATCCAGACCACAGCCGTCTGCCACCTGGGCTCCAACAGTGATCTTACCATCAGTATTGCAGCCACTACAGCAGAAAGCACTGTTGGCGACTTCCTTCTCAGACAGAACTCTACAGCCGTCCTCTGCTAGGGCTCCTTCTTCTTCATTGAGTTTGCCTCAGCTCAGTTTTTAGCCTTTAAAATATCAGTTTATTTAGAGAAGCCATTTCAAGGGAAGAACAAAACTGGCCACCCTGCAGGACATCATTCCCAACTGTCATGACCCCAGAGTGTGAGTGTACTTGGCTCGTGAGGAGAAGCTGTGGAGATTTCTTTTTGGAAGTGTTCATTTGCCCATAACTGTGCAGTTGGAGTGTTGGGGAGGCTCTGTGTGGCTCTCGAACATGCTGGCTGTCCCAGATATGTCCCTTGAGAGGACTGCAAGGCAAGAAGACACCGGAGCAGCACCGAGGCCTGAGTTTGAGCTCTCTTTTCCCTGGACGCAGGATACACGTGTGGTTCTAGAGCCCGGACAGCGGTGGGCTGAGGGCCTGAGCTGTAGAGGGCTCAACACCAGCCAGCATGGCTGCACAGTCTGATCCTGTCTCGGAAAACAAACAGGAGAACAGGAGAGTGTCGATGTGTGTGTTTGTGGAGCGCGGGTGCCTCTGGGTATTAAAAGCTGTAAAGCCTCAGGTACTTTGAATTTGTTGAGATAAGGAGGGGGTTTTGTTTTAACACATGTTAACTGAAGAACACAAAAGAAATGCATCACAAACAAAGCCCAAACCAGGGGTGAGTGCTTTAGTGACTTAGAAAATAAGAGACTGTGGAACCTGCATATGTTGACTAGGTAACAGAGAATCGCCACAGCCATCTTTCTTGTTGGTAATGCAACATTTTTTCAGTAATACTGACTTTTCCTAAGTCCTTACTGTTCTTTCCACTTCCGGCTTTGGGCATTGCATGACTTAGCTCACCTAGAGTGGCTCACCTAGTGAGCTGGTAGGAGAGGAACTGGGCTGTTTCATGTTGTTAGCGTCTGTGTGAAATGTGTCTTTTCATGGGCTGGTGCCGCCTGAGATGTAATGACTGACCTAACCCCACAGACTGAGTGAAAGACCTTTGTATTTCTTTAGAGTGTAGCCCAGAGTTCGTGTCACCAATTTCTGTCAGTTCTTTCCTCTCCCTTCCATCATTTTCTTTTTGAAATGAATTAATTTTTATTCATGTGTAAGAGCCCTCCGAGGCTAGGAGAGGGCACTGGGTGCCCTGTATTCTAATGTGGGTGCTAGGGATGGAGTCCAGGTCCTTTCTCCCACCTTTTGTTACTCAGCTTTTCACAGTTTTGTCAGGGACTCCACTTCCTGGATTGCAGGCATTTATAGGTCTAACAAGAGAGACCCTTTGGATAAAGGTAAATTTTTCCTGTTTTCAAACTCATAAACGACTACATAGTTGAGGGTTTAGAATATATGGCTGAGAAGAGTGCAGATTTCCCAGTCTCCCTGCTTGCTTTCCTGTGGCAAGGAAGAATCGGTGTGGCTGCTAACACGCCCCCGGGGGTGGGGGAGGGTGCGTTTGTCTACATGAAGACTGCGCATTGTTGTAGCTAGGAGTTTTGAGGTTTTACACCGCACTTCTCCGCTTCTCCACAGTAGACACACACACACTCACGCGCGCGCACACACACACACACACACACACACGCGCGCGCGCACACGCCCCTTTACTGACTTCAGTATGATTTCTTCATGCTGCCGCTGCAGCACTGAGGGAGACAGATGCCAGCCTTGATGCCGTGAGAGTGACCAGTGTGCACGGCCCTAGGCAGGGTCTGGGGTGCACACGTGCACAGTATTTCCACTGTCCGCTTGTGCCCACGCTGCAGTCTAATTTCTACTGAGTTGCTTTACTCATTTCATACGGCTTCCCCTGTCCCTCACCTCTGTTCTGTTCCCGTAGCTCACGCCTAAATGTGTGTTCCATCATGTCACTGAACTGACCCTCCCTGTCACACCATCTCCAATCTCCTCTTCTCTGCCTTCCTCTGGTCCTTTGCTCTTTTCATTTGGGTCCTTTGTGTTTCTCTTCTTGGGTTAGGAGGCCTCTGAAACAGGAACAACACATTCATTTTTGTTCTCACTGTGCTTGTGCTGTTTTTAAAATGCAGATCTCAAATATCTTAGTGGCCTTAGTTATGAACTATGGAGAAAGCAAGTGCTGTCCTAACTAAACCAGTGGTGGTGGCTCGTGTCAGGGTCAAAGGTCTGTGATGTTTGGTTACTTTCTTCCTTTTTCATGTAGGGCCTGTAGCTACAGTTGAGTGATGCTGCAGAATCACAGAACAGGAAGTCTTTTTTTTTTTTTTAAATAGTTCTTATTTTTATTTTGAGACAGGATCTGACTGAATAGCTTTGCCTTTCCTGGAACTCACTACGTAGACCAGGCTGAGCTTGAGCTCATGTAGATCCTCCTGACTCTACCTCCCGAGTGCTGGGGTTAAAGGTGTGCGCCACCATGCCCAGCGGAGACTGACTTTTCTTTCGCACGTAATTCAAGGCATTGTAGGATAACTTTATGACTTTATCCCTTCTCATAAAGCTGTCACTGAAAATGGTTTCTCTTCGGGCCCTGACAGCCTGTTGAATGTGTGCAAAAGTGCAGTGGCTTTCCTGTTGTTAGCAGTGATGTCTGGCACCGGGGAGTGGCCTGATTTCACCCCCGTGCTCTCCTGCCAGATGCTTCTCTGTAACCTTTTGCCTGAGAATCCCCACAGTACCTGTAAAGGAAGGAGAAATCGGTTTGTGAGGAGTGACAAGTGTGCGCGTGCACATGTGCGTGTGTGCGTGCTGTGTAAACGGCTTCTTTAACTGTTGGCTAGTTCACATTATAGCTCTGATCTTAGACTTGGGTGACAAATAATTCCTCAAGCTTCTGTTCCGTCACTTGGGAAGTATGTTTGCTGAGACACATGCTCCCTCTCAGATGTGAGAGCTGGTTACGTTGGTGGTGTTTGTGGCACTCTGAAGATGGCACTTTAAATAAACGGTTGTTGTCTGTGCTGGGAACATGTGGTCAGTTGTCATGTTCATACACCCACGTGATCAAAGCCTGAGCATCTGTCTCCCTCTTCCCGCTGCTAGGCTACCCTGTGATGATCAAGGCCTCAGCGGGCGGCGGAGGGAAGGGCATGCGCATCGCGAGGGACGACGAGGAGGCCAGGTGAGCTGCCCGAGACACACAGTTGATGAAAATCACAGTCTCCAGACTTTATTAAGCTGACAGGCAAACAGGTCGCCGGTGCGTGATGGAGTCGTTACGGTGACCCTCTGATCTTTATATCTTGGATGGGAGAGAATTGATACTCTGCAGAAATCCTTCTTCTGCACATTTTGAAGATAATTACCCCACCACAGAAAGGTTTTAAAACAAAATTTTATTTTATATTAGTAAAGGGTTTTGTTTTTATAGTGTATTTTTAAGAAATTAGAGTTGTTCTTTATATATATATATATATATATATATATAAAAATTACTGACATTTTAAAACAAAATTTTATTTTATATTAGTAAAGGGTTTTGTTTTTATAGTGTATTTTTAAGAAATTAGAGTTGTTCTTATATATATATATATATATAAATTACTGACATCTGGCCATATAATTTACAGTGTCATTTAAGGATTGAACCAGGTTTATTTAATGCCAATGTGTAATTACTCTGATAGTTTTTAGTGTGTAGGATATTGTTTTCCTTTTGAGTTTGAAATTGCTGTATGTTTTTATAGTACATTGTTATAAGTTTAGAAACTTTTCTTTTGTAATTAGAAGCCAGAAATAATCTATGTTATTTAAGAAAACTTTGCTTTTCCATGCACACAGTTGGTTAAATCTCTTCATGCATCTTGCCGGCAGCTGGAACATTTCCACTCGTAGCATCACCGTCTAGATTACTTGAGCTTTGTGCTCTGGAAGCAGTTTGAGAAGTCCTTTGCTAAGGAGTCCCTGGAGAATCCAAGTCTCTGGGGCTCAGAGCTAGGCAGTGACCTGGGCGGAGAACTTCCTTTCTGTACATAGCATCCTCAGGCAGGGTAGGTTGTTGAGGTCCTGAACTTTGCCTTTGAACCTGTCCCTTTGGGCCTTGCTCAGACTTCTTCACCAGGGCATTGCCTTTCTTGGGCAACTTTCTTCTTGTCATTCTTACAGAAGTAAATAACTTTTCAGAAATCTAACATGAATAGAAATTAGAAAACAAGATTGCCTAATGCAGCCAAATCTAAAACCAAGGAGAGGACAGAGAGAGGACTCTGTCGTGAATGTGCTTGTCACACAAGCATGAGGGTGTGTTGAGATCCCAGCATCTGTGCTAAACAAACAAAACAAAAACTCAGAAAACCAGAGCAGTAGCAACAACCAAACAGGTGCAGTAATTCAGGCTGATGACCCTGTAGCTGGGGAAGCAGAGGAAGGAGAATCCTGGTGCTGTGGGCAGTCTAGCCAACTGGTAAACTCCAGGTTCCATGAGAGGCCCTGTTTAAAAAAAAAATAAAAAAAAAAAAGATAGCAATAGCTGAGGTAAACACTTGACATACAGACTTTCGGCACACACGTGCACACACCCACACGGAGAGAGACACAGAGAGAATTGAAAAAGAATTATATATTTGGCTACAGGAGAAACTTTGCCATTTATGGAGATGAGGAATTAAATTTTATATAATTGTTACTTTATCATTAATGTTTCCTTCCTATTTCTTTACTTAGACGTCATCTGGTCTTTCAGATGGTCAGTTCTGCTTTCTTGTCCTCTTCCCACTTTCTTCCCTTTTAAATGTCCTAGGAGGAGAAGGCTGTGTTACTTACTGGACAGTCATGCAGCACAGTAGAATCCAAGCCTCCGAGGTTAGGTTCTAGCGTGAGCAAGAAGGGGCAGGTGCCCTGCGGATGAGGTCTCGTTAACACCTTGCAGGCAGGCCCTGTGTTGGATGCTGAGGTGCTGGCCTGAAAAAGCACCAGTGTGTTAGTTACTTTCCGTGGCTGCGATAAAATGCCATGGCCAGAATGACTTATCAGAGAAAAAGTTTATTTTGCCTTATGGTTCCAGAAGGAGGATTTATAATGATAAAATTCAGGTGAGGTTTGTGAATATAGATGAATAGACCATGCATGGAATGATTTTACTGCTACTGACCTGGAATTTAGTGTTTCCTAAAGCAAAATTGGTATCTGGGGAACTTTCTACCATTACAAGCCGCATGTGTGTTCTTACTCTCTTACGATGATGTGGGCATTGCTCGGTTATGTGAGAGTGAGATTCCTTGGAGCCACTGCTGTTTATTATTTTAAGGGTTGTTTATTTTTAACCTGTATGCGCATGGGTGAGGCTCTGTGAGTGGGTGTACCCTATACATGCAGGAGCATGTGGGGACTGACGCGCCTCGGATCTCCGGGAGCCAGAGCTACGGGGCATTGTGAGATGCCTGACGGGAGGCTGGGAGCTAAGCCCAGGTCTCCTGAAGGAGTAGGCTGGCCGGGAGCATCTGGCCAGGGCCAGCAGCAGCAAGGCACCTTGACGGTGGTACGAGGGCAAATATGAGCCTGGAGTGGTGGTCCCATTGTCATGGGAGGTAATGGCATGTCAGGGGTAAAAACAGGAGGCCCAGGAAGCTACACTGAGATTTAGAGGTCAGCACGGGCTATGTGAGCCTCCGTCTCAGAAACCAAGGATGGATGACTAGTAGGAGCTGGGTCAGAGTGCGCTAGGGTTGGGTGGAGGTGCATGATGTAAGCTTTGAAGAGTTTGGCGGTGGAGCAGGGACTCTAGTAGCCACTTGTCTATGGAGAACAGTCTTCTGTTGGTGACTGTCATCCTTTGTGACCAAGTGTGCGGCTTTGAGAGGGTTGCACATGGAGAGGGCAAGGCATCTGCTCAAGTTGGCCGGATCAGCTGAGTTAACCCTGATGATCAATAGCATGACAGATGTCACAGCCAGATTCCTCTCTCATCCTAGGAAGGCTCTTGTGGGCATTCTTTGTGATATCTGGAAGGACTGGAAGGGAAACCATGGAACTTCAACAAACCCTGAGACCATACTTTTTAATTATAAAAATATTCAGAGATAACTCCAGGTTCAGGGAGAGACCGCGCCCCAGTTAATGGAGGTCATAAAACAGCAGCAGATGTCCTCCTCTGGCCTCCAGCCACATGTGTACATACACACAAAGTAAGCGAGTTAAAGATTCTCTCCCCTTGGTGTGGCAGGGCTCGCGCTGACAGCGCTCTTCTTGGACTTAAACAAGGCCCAGCCACGCTCTGGAGCGGGGGCCACTGAGGAGACGCCTGCAGTAACTGCTGGAAAATGGCCAAGGCCTTCCAGCAGTGTGGAGGGAGCGAGAGGGTGACCCTGGGGACTGACTTGTGCCTAGGATTCCAGTGCCTGGGAATCCGAGGAGAGAACCTCTGCAGACTTGAGGTCGGCTTGGGCTACATAATGAAGCTGAGGATAGCATGAGCTGCAGAGTGAGACCTTGTCTCACACACAACACAAAATGCAAAACCAGAGTTTCTAAGTGAAATTATCTGAGGATGTGTGGACACTGTTTTAAAGTTACTTTGCCATCTTTTTGTATTTGGGTTTAGTGTTTATGTAAGTTAAATGCTCACAACACAGCTGTGCTTTACCTGAAAATTTTTGGGAAATGCTGAAAGGCAAAGGTTCCAGTGAGAGACTAAGAGTTAGAACAGGTTTGGGCTTCTGTCTGCAGAAGTGTGAGCCCTGAAGGGCTGGCTCAGTGCCTAAGGGCACTAGCTGTTCTTGCAGAGGACCTGGGCCTGGTTCCCAGCACCCACACAGTAGCTCACAAGTCTAGCGCTAGTTCTTAGATCACTTAACCCAAGTAGAAGTTCCCTCCTCCTGCTCTTCCTCCTCTTCCCCCTCTTTTTTCTCCTGCTCCTCCTCCTCTTCCCTCTTTCTCCTCCTCTTCCTCCCCCTGCTCTTCCCCCTGCTCCTCCTCCCTGACTTAGGGTCAGAAGTCTTACAGTTTCTCCTTCGCTGTTATGTATTGATTATTGGGGATCCCATGCTTCTGAACCCCAGTGCAGGGTGCAGGCTGTGACTGCACATCATCACTTGGAAGGGGCGGGGCAAGGTGCGCAGAGCAGCCTGGGGAGCTGGAGACACCCTGTACCATCTCTGGGCAGACTGCTTCACAGTTTCCTCACAGGAGTGACTGTCGGTGACAACCGAGGGTGATGGTGAGAGAGGTGCACTTTAGGACCCTGGATTTTGTCCCATTGTTTTCCCCTTTTGATGAAGCTTATGTAGCCGTTCCTTTGGAAATCTAGCACATTGTTCTTTCTTTCTCTCTCTCTCTTTCTCTCTCTCTCTTTGAAACATGGTCTCACTGTATAGCCTTGGTGGCCTAGAACTTGCTTTGGAAACCACACTGACTTCAAACTCAGAAACTAGCCTGCCTCTGCCTTCAGAGTGCTAGAATTAAAGGTGTGTGCCACCACTCTAGAAGAAATTACTGTTAGGATAGATTTCCCATGAGACATTTCTATCAGTGACTGTGACTGAGTCCCACATTCTTTTGTGGGTGGTATTACTACTGCCCAGTGTCTTGGTAGTGGATTTTGAGGCGCTGTTGTTGATGTGTGAGTTTGAGTTTAGAATTAAGTGTTCAGAAGTCGCCGTGTCTGTTTATATGTACCTGTTAGTCTTTTCGAGTCAATTAAGGGATGCGGAGAGTCAGGATACACTTACGTGCTTCATAAGCACAGGTCACTGTCTGCCTGAAAGTACTGTCTCCAACATCATGCATGAGCCATCTCTCTAATTCTCTGTGGATGAGCAGAAATTTGATACTGTGGCTTTGACGGGGGATACTTTTGTTTAAAAATCTGTTCCATATCCTCTGTTTATTTACACAAACCCAAAAGTCAAGAAGAATTTGGAGACTGGTCCAGTGACCGCAGACATCAGCTACTCTCCCACAGTAATGAAGCGCTCATGCCACTGCACACTCGTCCTGTCCTCTGCTCACAATCTACAAATATTGTGTGTTCTTTGGATGCATGGTAGAGTTTAGTATCAGTTGCTTTCTCTTTTGTCCCGAGAACAGCTGTACCTTTTGACATCTTTCCTTCCTCTTAGCAGCGAGTCCCATCCAAGACTTGCCTTAGAACTTTTATAACAGTGGGAAGAGTTTTAAGAGCATGTCTGATTTTATTGTGTAATAAACTGAGATAAGAGTCATGAAAATTGTTAAATGGGAACTTAGAAGTTTCACAACAGCCGTGGCCTTTTCTGTATGCAGATTTAAGTGAAAGACATGGTCAAAATGAAACCCTGCCTACATTTTTTACTAACCTTACCATACATTAGATAGTTTCTATTTTACTTTAGATGTTAGAAGTACAAAATATGTATCAGGTGCCTTGCTTGGGCAATAATTACTTTTTAATTAAGGCATAACTGAAATAAACAAGAGGGCTGTGTTTGTTTGTGTTTGTTTGCTGGATGTAGACCTCAGAACTTTGCATGTACCAAGCTTTTGCTCTGCCCATGAGCTGCATCCCAGAGGATGGTCTTAGCACAACTTTCCCTTAGTTCCAAAATAGACCTGTGATGTTTTCAAACTTTGTGTTTTATTTTGATGACTTTGATGGCTCACTTTTGATGCTCTTGGCTTAAAAGCAAAATGAAAGGTTTTAGTTACTGCATTGCAGGGAAACTGTGAAGTGCTGTGTTAGTCTCTTCCTGAAGTACAATATCTCTCCAATCTAGGAAATCTTTGGTACTGAAGACAGCAATTCACTGTGGTTCTGCTTTCTCTGAAGTTTGTAGTCTACCCAAGTCTAAACATCATTTCCCTAAATCAAAGATACAATGAAAGGCTAAGAAAACCTCAGACCTTTTGTCCTGAGGGAACAGAAACAGGAGGATTTTTCTAAGGTTTTGAAATATACCGTCACTACTGTCCACGTCAAGTGCAGACACAAGCGTGTCAGCTGTGATGGGCGCTGCGCAGGAGGCACTGCAGTGGGCAGGAGCTTCTTGGAGTTGACCACTGCTTTGTACAGCTATGGTGGGTATACCTCGGAGGGGCCAGCCCCGGGCTTTTCTCTGATTGCTTCCTGCTGCCGCTGGTCCTTCTCGTGCTCACCGTTGCTGTCTTCCTCATTTGTCTGGCATGGTGTGATGGGGTGTGGAGAGACCCTCACTGCTGTAGTCTGGTGTGATTGCTTCCTGGGTGACAGCCCACTCGTTTGGACAGTTTTCCTGCAGATCAGTATGAAGATGAACTTCCATAAAATAATATTGTTTAGATAAGTTGATCATTTAACAGAATTGTTGATTTGATTTAAGTGGTTTTACGAAGCGAGGTGAAGATGTTTTTGTCAGTGGCTCTGATGTAGAGAATCTTGAGGAACAATTTAAAGTTCAGAAAGGCACGTGCTTAATAGTTGAGCTACAAACTTTTTTGAGGTTAGGGAGCAAGAATAATTGCCCAAATTAGCAGTGGCTGACGTGATTCTCTATCAATGAAGCTGGGCTTCAAGGTGATTAATTTCTTCTTGTACCCATTTTTGCCCTCAGCTTCTGTTATGGTTTAATAAAAATTGTTAATAAGCAAATGTTTGCCTTGAGGGTTTAAAGTAGTATGACTGTTTTTATATAAAAGTTTAGATTTACAAGATACAGTATAGAAGTTTAGATTCTTCTAAGATTTTTAAGATGTTTGATTCTTTCTTTGTAACTGCAAATTGCAGCCTGCCAGTAGAGACTCTGCTGAAAGAATCACCTCCCTTGCTTACACTTTGTGAGTAACAAGTTGCTTAGTTACAAAGTTTGTTTTTCATGCACAATACATGAAACATTTGGTCATGTGAGGGCATGCAGTGCCCGTGGAGGCCAGAAGAGGGCGGCAGATTCCTTGGCGATGGAGCTGTGAGCTGCCACGTAGGTGGTGGGAACCGAACCCGGGCCTGTGCAGCGCAGCAGGTGGTTGGTGAAACAATACTGTGTTCTTGTTTCCATGGAAAATCTGAGACCAGGGCATTAACTGGCTCAAGGCGGCCGGGCTGTTAGTGGAAGTTGCTGCCCAGGTTAGTTTAGTTCTCTGGAGGTCCTGTGAGTCTGTTCCCATTATTTTCTGAATTAAGCTGAAGCGAATACTGTTTTCTGTGTGGAAGACTATCTTTGATTTGCTAGTCCAATTGCTCTTTTTGTTCCACAGGGAAGGTTTTAGATTTTCATCCCAAGAAGCTGCTTCTAGTTTTGGTGATGATAGACTGCTAATAGAAAAATTTATCGATAACCCTCGTCACATAGAAATCCAGGTGGGTACTGTTCCTGATGCTGTCTAATGGCCGAGCCTGTGGCTGTGCTAAGATGCTGGGGTGCTTTTGGTCGGGATGGAAATGAAATGGAAGCACTCACAAAACACAGCTTCAACCTATGAGGTCATCCAGCCTCCTCCAGGACTGGCTCATCGGAGGCAAAACACATACACACACACACACACACACACAAACAGGTACTCTTCAGACATATGATATATATTTGTACATATGTTATAATAATAATACATAATAAAAGGAACCTTCCGTTCACCTCATTTCTTCTATGGTTTTCTGTTCATTGTATTTAAGCATATGTTCTAAACTTTTCTGAAGTCCTGCTCATGCTTGCAGGACTTTTCTGTATAGGCTTTACATATGCAGTGCTCTTGCCTTGCCTCCAGAGCACTGGGGTTTGTGGTTATAGGTGTGGTGTGTTGGTGTGTGTGTTTTTGTTTGGTGTGTGGCTGGGCATAGATGCTTTCCCATTTGCCTATTTGTCTCTAATAAGTGATACCATATATTGTGACAACCATTTATTGAAAATTAAGTGAGATTAGTTGATTGTCTTAACTAGATTTCTTTTTTTTTTTTTTTTTAAATGAGATCTCTGGGGTCTGGGGAGATGGCTCCGTTGGTAGAATCCTTTGTCTGCAAGCCTGAGTTCAGTTCCCCAGACTGCACATAAAAGCGTAGGCATGGTGATGTAGTCTGTAATCCCAGCACTGGGGAGGCAGAGCTGAAGGATCCCTAGAGCCCAGTGGCCAGCCAGGCTAAGCTGCTGAGCTTCGGACTCCTAATAAAGTAACGGAGAAGACACCTCATGTCAACCTTCCACCTCCCAGATTGCAGAGGTGGAGACCCTTCACACATATAACACACACGCACGCACACGCACACACACATATAACACACACGCACGCACACAGAGGGAGGGGGGGGGAGACATCCCAGAATATGGTACTGTTAATGTTCTAAATTAATTTTTCCTTCAGATAGCTTAGGCTTTTTAGGTTCCTTAAATCTCAAAGTAAATGTTAGGTTTTACCCATTAACCTAATTCTAGAACACATATACTTATACCCCAACTTTTGAGATTGGGATTTGGATTGTATTGATTCTAGATTGACTTTTCTAGTCAGTTTATGAACCTAGAATAGCTCATAGTTTATATACATCTTCATTAGTGCCCCCAGAAGTGTTTTGTAGTTTTCAGTCTAGAGCTTTTATGTCTCTTTCAGCCCTCCTTTCCCCTAGACATGTGATCGCTTTGATGCCGTGCTATGCTGCCACCTTAGAAGTTTGAGTGACCATTTATCTGTTGTTGCTGACACAATAAACACAGGCGATTTTTGTACCTTGGTATCTTTGCTGAGCCCTTTTACAGTTTGTGTCTTTAGATCTTGTGCTGAGTGAGAACTATCTCAGACCACGGAGGTGGGAAACCCTGCTCGCACTGCCGGGGCCATTCACTGCCTTGGTCTTCCAAAGCTCCTGTTTCCTGGGAGACCATGGGTCCTTGAGGGCAGAGATGAGGCCTTAGTCTCTAATGTTCCAGCAGCGAGGACTTTGCCTTTCATTAATATTCAGCGAATGTTTGCTACTTAAGTAGTTACACATCTACATTAGCCTTTTAGCTTAATTACCTTTGGCCTACCGTCTGGATTATGTTTTTAACTATAAGTAAATCTGCCCCTAGCACCTTAAATGGGTAACCCAGATGTTTTCCCATGTGATCTGTCTTAGGAGTTTTTTTTTTTTTTTAAACTAGCCACTTTCCAGTTTTCATGAGCTTATTTGTATTATAATTTATGAATATAGGTTTGTTTAATATTTTTCTGTCCAGTAGTGACTAAGCAGCATGTGTCAACTGTCTTCTCATAAAGGCCCAGTGACAAGCCAGAGTTTTGCTGGACCCAGTGAGTTTATTAGGTTTACTTGTAGAGCTGAATGACCACGTGTGGGCAGGAGTGTGGGTGGCCTGAGGCAGCCACATTGGAAGCTCTGCACCCAGTGTAGATGATGGCTTCCCCATGGCTGTGCACAGGGGTCTTTCCCAGCTACTCTAAGTCCTCGAAAGACCGAAAGCCACGTGTTATTAGGGCAGAAGCATACACAAATGGCTGGATTGTCAGGTGGCAGTCCAGGGGCCCTGTCCAGCCCCTCCTCCTGTGAAGGGATAGTGGCGGCGACACTCTGCCAGCAGAGTAGCTGGTCTTCTGAAGATGCAGGACTTTGGTTCAGAGGATGGTGTGTGTCACAAGTGTAGCTCACAACAGTCAGGCTCCTTGTCACCCTGTCTCCTGATCCTTTGAGTTCTGCGCCAAGATGATGTGCCCATTTTTCAACTGTCTCCTGCCCACAGTGCGGGAAGCATGTCTGTGCTAACTTTCACATGAGCTGTCCCTGCCTGTGTTCCGTCCTTGCTGAGGTGCACACTGTCCGTGCTCACCTAGAGAACCACTGGCATGCTGCAGGCTGGCTTAGGGGTCCTCAGGAGCATCCTGGTCCTGAACCTCTTGAGGAGCTCGTTTCCTGCTCAGCACATGTGCCTCCACAGGGTTCTAGTCAAGGTTTACGAGAGCTCACAGGGCGCAGCACCTTTCCCTTACAAGTGTGTTTTGTTCATGTTTCCCACTATATCATCACTAGTTTTCTTTAAAATGCTTGATAAATTCCCCAAGCCTTTTATTTTGACTTTATATGTATGGGCATTTTGCCAGCATATATGTCTGCATATCACTTGTGTGTCAAATTCCCTATAATTTTTAAAGCAAAAAAGAGACTACACAGAATCAGAGAAAAACCAACACTTGATTCTGTATCTGATTTTTTTTTTTTTAACACAGTTGCAAGTGCTTTTTGAGATTCTTTGTTATTTGGCTTTATTTCTTAGAGACTAAATGTACTTTTACTTTCTTGCCAAGTAAAGTTTAAAAAAAGAGGTTGAGAGTTATTTTGAGGAGTTAAAATATTTTTAGATGTACCTCATGCAGCTACCTTGGAGTATAAGAAGTAAAATGCCAATCTATTGGCATCTGGTGATTCTAATTTTTTTTTTTTATTATTTGAAATCATTTTTGAGTTACAAAAGGCTTTATTCCTAAAAATGTTTCAGTCATGTATTCACTATTTATTTTATAGCTAACAGTGCCTGCTGTGAGTATGATTTTTTTCACCAGGTGTATAAAACATTAACATGACTCTTCTGTAGCACAAGAAGCAACTGAGGAGAGGGCTCCATGCAGCTGCTTGGTGCTAGAACTAGGAGTCCTGGTAGATGAGCTAGCTGCATGCTTGGGGTGCCAGCGGAGGGCCCTGTTGTCAGCACACAGTTTATCTCTCCTACCACAGGCGGAGAGCTGTGTGCTGTGTTGCGGACTAGCTCCTGGCCATTTTTTTCTAGTTTCCTGTACCAAAATAAGCCACGGTAATGTTAACCACTGCAAGTGACAATATATTGGAAGAACTCTATAAGCTCTTGCTTCCTAATAAACATGAGAACGACACATGGGTGTGTGTCTGGTGCGGTACGGTGGTGGTGTGTCTGCGGTCCACCGAGGCTGACCCCAGACGCACTGGCACTTTCTCAGGTCATGCAGCTTCTGACCTTTAAGATACCGCCGGAGGTGCAGATGACTCTTGCTCTGCAGGCACTCTTCTGATAATATTGCACTGTATTGCAGAGCTGTAAATATGTAATTGTAAATATGCCTGTCTTCTGTTACTGTCAGCCTGATGTGGTTTTGAGAGCTGTAGGTAATGTCTGAGGTCTGGGTGTAGAGTATAGAAACCACGAGACGTGTCCGGGAGTTTCTCAGGTGTCGCCATTCTCAGGTTTTAGGTGATAAGCACGGCAATGCTCTGTGGCTTAACGAGAGGGAGTGCTCCATCCAGAGGAGGAACCAGAAGGTGATAGAGGAAGCGCCAAGGTGAGTGGCACCTCAGGGGCACCAGAAAACTACCCACTGCCTGCGTTTCCTTCAGTGAACTCTTTTATTTGTTAAATCGCCTTGCTACAAGGGTCACTAATGGTCACGTGTGAAGTGACCGTCCCTCCAAGAGTCTCCCTTGATTTCCCGGCGCCCCAGCGCACAAGAGTGAGGAGACCCTGGAGAAAGAGGTAGTGTTTGTGGTAGCACGTCAGGTGACAGCTGTGGCTAGTTTAGGCTTTGGGCTGCGTGGACCTTTCCAGTGTTCGTGGGACGCCCAGAAGAGGTGTTCTTACATTAGAGAAACGGTAATCACTGGTCCTGTGTTTCCCTCCTGAGGGAGGATCCCTGGGTCCGTCAGGTCTCCTCTGGTAGGTCCTAGCAGCTGCAGTGGGTTTTGAGAGTCTGTTCCTGGAGCTTCGTCTCTCAGGTGATGTAGGCTGGTACTCGTGCATCTCCTGGGGTTCTCTTTGTTCTGAAAAATCCCCATTTAACACCGACACTGCAGAACTCCATGTATAATAATATTAATAGTAATAAAATCTAACCACCTAAAGCCATTGAGTAATCCCAACGGCACCTAAAGGGGGCTAGAAAGTACATTTCCCGTTACTTGTCAGCTAGGCCGTGTCCCTCTGGCAACCCAAATGACTGCGCTGGCTTTAACCTAACTATCAGTTTATATGGAACTGACACACAGTATTAGTGTTAAAGGCAGCACAGGGCTGCTGGCAGCTCAGATACAACCTAAAGAATGAGATAGGAAGGCCTAAAGCCAGGGATATGACAGCAGATGAAAATGAATAAAATGATTAATTAATTAATGTTAATTTATATTCTTAAAATTAATAACATTAATATTATTATTAATATTCTTAAAATGAATAAGAAATAACTCCAAACACCAAACAAAAACAAAAACAAGCCAAAAAAAACTCAGCCAAATGCAGAGTCTGGACCTTATTTAGATCTTGATTCAAAGAAAACTCATCTTTATAGCAGCATTTATGAGGAAACCAGGGAAATTTTAAATACTGACTGACTACTAATTAAAACTGTCAGGCTGTTAAGGAGTTCTTGTGTTAAAAAAAAGCTTCAAGCAGACACAGAAGGGAGTTTCTGCTGATGAAACAGTCCCTGGCTTCAGATTTACTTAAACGACCACAAGTTCCTGAGGCAACTAGAACCAGCGAGTGTGGCAGGCAGGTGGGCCCATGGCGCAGGAGCATAGACAATGGCAGCTCCTCCATGCCACTCTAGAAGAAGAACACAGACGGTTTCAGCACACGTCCCGGCACGGATATTGTGCAGCGTGTCTCACTGGCTTATGCGAGGATAACATCAGCTGCAAAGAGAAATGGAGTTGACATTTATTTTTCAGAGCCTTTCCTGCAGAGAGCTACAGTCTGAAAACACTGGTTATTTGGTGTGTGTATACACACACACACGCCTTTCTCTCTCTCACATGTATGTGTACGTGTGTATGTATATATATATGTGTGTGTTTACATACATACATGTATGTGTGTGTGTGTATATATTCTTTCCCCTCCATTTGAACAAGCTTTGTTGAAAACATGTTAGTTTGACCTGCCTGTGAGAGAGTGACACTTGTATTTTGAAGCATCGTTTGACCTGCCTGTGAGAAAGTGACACTTGTATTTTGAAGCATCAGAGGTTGATCTGATGCAGTTCTGGTCTACAAAGGCCTTGTGAACCCTGAATTAGCAGATACTGAGCTGTCTTTCCTAGGAAATGCAGGGTTTGGGCTCCCTGAAGCCTCAGGCTATAATCTTTTCACATAACATGTAGATGTGACGTCTGCACCTAGTCAGTGGAGAACTTTGTTTTCTCTATGTTCCAGTTGAAGAGCACCTTATTTCATTGTAGTGCATTCTGTCTAGGTTCCCCTCACATGTAGACTTTCTCCATAAGACACTCCACAGCCATTATGCTCTTAGGAGCCCAGATAACACTTAAGTATAAGAGTCAAGAGTCTTCCAGGCAGTGAATCTCTCCTCCTCTCTCTCCTTGGAGATGGCAGCGGTTAGCTAGAAGCCTGGGAGTAGGAAGACAGGCGTCGTTTGTCCACCCTCAGCTTTTGATGAGTCTTCTCTCTCCTTGTGCACAAGTGCCACAAGTGCGCATTTCAAGGTGCGTAAGTTCTAGCAAGCAGGTGCGTTTGCATCTGCAGAATCTATGGAGAATGAGGATTGCATAAGTCAGTCTTCAGCAAGTTATTTCTGGGTCAGCTACACGCACCTCCCAGCAATGTGTTCAGGGTTGCTAGGTAGAAGTTGTTGTGTGTGGTGGAGATGAAGTGGAGGTTCCATGAAGCTTGGTGCCGGCTCGGTGAAGCACGAGTCAGATGGCCCCGTGGCCAGGACACATGACCAGCTCCCGAATGGCTCAGATGAGTCTATGTACAGTTTTGTGTAAGCCCATAGAAACTGTATGGGGCTTTCTGCTGAGTGCTCTGTGTGTTTGCAGCATTTTTCTGGATCCTGAGACTCGCCGAGCGATGGGAGAGCAGGCTGTGGCTTTGGCTAAAGCTGTGCGGTACTCCTCTGCTGGAACTGTGGAATTTCTTGTGGACTCCCAGAAGAATTTCTACTTCTTAGAAATGAATACAAGACTCCAGGTAACAACATCTCTTTTAATTCCTCTCCATGAGTCTCTGCCCCTCCTCATTCATTCTTTGTCTTGTTTTGTGTTATAATAAAATTTAAAAATCAGCACCAGGAACTTAAATATGTGCTCTTCATGTTGGTACCGAGGAAAATGAAGCAGCCAAGTGGTTTATTCGTTTAATTTGTGGATGTTCCATGTGTATGGGTGCTGTACGTATGCACCGCATACATGCAGTGCCTCTAGGGGCTGGAAGAAACCGCCAGGCCCCAGCTCCGGAGCTACAGAGAGCTGTGAGGTGCTGAAAGCGGAACCTGGGTCTTCAGGAGCAGCCAGTGCTGTCAGTTGCTGAGCTGTCTGTGTAGCCCCACGGCCTGCCAAGGCGGAGGCGATGTGTCTCCTACGCTTTACTATGCTCAACACCTGACTCTCCACATGGGGATCTCCTTTGGTTTGCTGTATCTGTCAGGATGTGTGTGCTGGTAAGAGAGGCCTGATAATATAAACAGAAAAGCATGAGTGCTAACAAAGGCCTCCGGAGGGCTGGAGTAAGGGGGACTGGATGTGAAATTCTGGGAGGAAGTCCTAAAACTGCAGTGTCCGCCAAGTTCCTGGGGAACAGCCAGGAACAGCGGTCTTCTTACCTCAGCTAAGAAGACCCAATGGCCACCCTGCTTTGTGACTTCCTGAGTTCCAGCTGAAATCTCAGAGGTCACCAGTGCTGCAGCAGGTGGCTTCATTTTCTTCTTTCTTCCCTTTCCTCTTCTTTACTTAAACTGTATGTATATGTTCACACACATAAATGTAGGGACTATACACATATACATATATAGGGAGTTACATATATATTACATGTATATGTAAAAGCAAACAGAACAAACATGGTTGAACACGGATGAAGCATCAGCTGGGGCCAGTGGTGCAAAAGGCAAGCCTTTCTGCAGAGCCTCCTCTGTCTTTCCCCGTCTGCCTCCCTCTCTGCAGGGTCTCCTACCTGACAGACTCATTCCCATTGGCTCCTGTTGCCACGCTAGTTTTACTTTGGTTGATGGGGCCACGGAGTGTTTGTTTTCTGGTTGTGCAGCTCAAGCTGCCCTGTGTGCTGCTGCTCTGAAGAACTGAAGTTTCTATTTTACCTTTCGAGGATACATGCCCTGTTTCCTGTCTCCCTCCTTTAGTGAGGCTGTCACCTGTGCAGAGCCTGAGAGCAGGCTGTCGGCAGGGTTTTCCTTCTGGGAGCTGAGAATGTGGTGGCAGGCGATTGTCTGCTAACCTGTTGTTTGCTCTGTGGCCAAAGCTCGAAGCTCCGGCTCTGCCTCAGCTGTCACCTGCCATTCTCCGTCAGTACCTCCATGTCAGGGTTCCCTTTCTCAGAGGGTAGCAGCCGTCAGGCTTGGGTTCACTCCAGCGCAGTATGAGCGAGCCTTGGTCGCGTCTGTCAGGCCTCTTTCCACATGCGGTCATATCCACGCGGTGAGCGTGACTTTGGATGGAATTCTAGTTAACTCAGTGGGCGGTGTGTAAAATCCACGCGGTGAGCATGACTTTGGATGGAATTCTAGTTAACTCAGTGGGCGGTGTGTAAAATCCACGCGGTGAGCGTGACTTTGGATGGAATTCTAGTTAACTCAGTGGACGGTGTGTAAAATCCACGTGCTCTGCCAAAGTAGAAAGCACGTTGTGGCTCCACGACCCTGGGGTTCATGGGTGTGGCGGCTGTGGCCTGCCGCCTCTAACAGTGGAGTGTAGTGGGATCACGCTTTGTCTGAACACAGAACCCACACTGCTTCCATTAGGCCCTTGGTGGGGCTTTCTGTGTGTGGGGTGGGAGGAGGTTGTTTCTCTAGGCGTACGTGGACTAGGGCTTGCGTGTGTCTGTTCCTCAGGTGGCTCTTCACATATCTGCATGTGCTGAGCTCTCTCTGCTGCTGCTCCGTGCCTCGCTCCACATGTTATCCTGAGGAGCCCCTGCTTCCATGTGCTATGTTCATACTCGTTCTGGGAAACTTCCTTCATGTCACTGGACTCTTCTTAACATATGTGTGTTTGCAAGAGAAAGAACTTTTTCAAAGTTATCTATCTATCTATCTATCTATCTATCTATCTATCTATCTATCTATCTATCATCTATCTATCGTCTATCATCTGTTGTCTATCTATCAATCTATCAATCATCTATCTATCTATCAATCATCTATCGTCTATCATCTATTGTCTATCTATCATCTATCTATCAATCATCTATCTATCTATCATCATCATCCATCTATCTACTTTGTGTGTGTTGGCCTTTTGCTTCCATGTGTGTCTGGGTGAGGGTGTCAGATCCCCTGGAACTGGAGTTCCAGATGCTGTGAGCTGCCATGTAGGTACTGGAAATTGAACTCAGATCCTCTGGAAGAGCAGCCAGTGCTCTTAACTGCTGAGCCATCTCTTCAGCCCCAAGAGTGATACTTTCTGTCCTTGGTCTTAGCCAGTCCTTGTGGTTTAGGGTGCTTGTGGTGGTGTCCTTAGTGGGTCTCGTCCTTCACCTAGTGGCAAGAGAGCTGATGGTCTGAACTCAACATCTCTTTCTGCATAGTATCTTTCTTCATTTGTCCCCTCTTCATCTGCCTGGGAATACATTTCACATGCATCTCTGTAAGTAGTATATTTTTAAGGTCAAGTTCTCTCATCTTGTCTGTGCCTAGACAACATCACGAACTCTTATGTATTTGCGCCACATTTTTTTTTTTTTTTTAAACAGGGTATCCTTGAACTTTGGGCTCAAGTGACTGTCTGGCTCAGTTCCATATAGATGAACGTGTTTTGATACATTTGGATTTAACTTTAGTCTGTTTCAATGTTTTCATTTTTCTCACCCCATGGTTTTTCTTTCTCTTGTGTTTCTAGTGCTTAGCATTTAACATTCTCTCTACTGCAGTTTGAGAGCTGTGTGAATGTCTAAGCTTCTGTTAGAGCCTGTCCCCGACAGACAGACTTGATTTATCCAGGTCTGATGTCAGTCATTTGTTATCTGCCCCACCTGGCTGGATGAGGAAATTGGGGCATTTCATACTCCACTGTCATCAAGATAACGTCTCTTACTATTGTTTTAAATAGTCACCATTCTTTCCATTCTGCCCATATAGTCATCTTTTGTTTCTTCCTGTGTATGTGGGAATAAAATAATTTTTACGTCATTTCTCTCTTCCCTTTCCTCCCTCTAGTCCCTGCATGACCCCTCCCCCACTTTCTCTCTATTCATTGTGTTACACCTGCCTGGTTCATGTGTAACAGCTACGTTTTTCTTCTGACAGTTCTTATGATTTTTTTTAATTACTTAAAATGTTTGAGAATGTTTTGTGTTTGTGTGTATCGATGAGGTATCTGTGTGAGAGCTGCCTGCGCACAGTGCACGTGTGAGGTCAGAGGTGACTCAGTAGAGCCAGTTTCTCTCTCCACCTTATGTGGCTCCAGGGCTCATTTTTTTCTTCGTTTTGTTCAGTGTATGTGTATAATGCCCATGGAATTCGTGGACTCCTTGAATTTGTGGCTTAATGCCTTCCAGCAATTTTTGAAAATTCTCTGTTGCTATTTCTAGCATGTTCTCTTCCTTTTGAATTTGTCACTCTAGGTAATTTCATAACATAGCCTTTCTTTGATAATTCTTTAGCCTGCACATTGTTTTATTGTTGTGTATTTAATGCATTCCCCTACAGGTTTAAGTTTCTTTTGTTTATATTTCAGTCTAGGTAATGTATTTGATTCTTTAAAGTGCAGTTCAGTATCTGCTCTCGTTTCTCACCTCCTAGCCAACAATTTAACGTCATCTTTCATTCTTTAAACACAGTCACTTAGTTGTCCAGGCACATGTGGCACTTTCTGTTCCTGAAGCCCCGTGACTGCTCCACCTGTTGGCACTGTTGAGACAGTGGTGGCTAGGTGCTCTTACACCTTTTCACCTCCGAGTGCATGTTACGTCTTTACGTGTTGTTCATTTATTTATTTAATTTTGTGTATATGAAGGTTTTGCATGCGTGCCTGTGTGTGCACCACGTGCGTGCCTGGTGTCGCATCCCCTGGAACTGAACTTACAGATATTTGTGAGTCATGATGTGGGCACTGGAGATTGAAGCCAGGTTCTCTGCAAGAGCAACAAGCGCTGTTGCCTCCTGAGCCACCTCTCCCGCCCCAGCAACACCTGTATCTGTGTCTGCATCTGTATATGAACGTAAACATTTCAGTTGTCTCCTCACAGAGACTTGTCCGTGTTTTTCTGTCATGGGTAGTAATATTTGTGGCACTAAGGTCCCAGCTGAACGTGAAATTTCTTGGGCGTCTGAGGGATGCATGCCTGTGTGCTGACCAGCGAGGGGCTGGGTCTAGGCCAGGTCACTCTGATCTTGAGGGTGCTCCTTTGTGGCCTCTATGCCCTGTGGAGCTGCCTTATCTGTGCCCGCTCCTGTGGTGGGTATCGTTTTCGTGGCTGCTCACTGCAGCTAAAGGAATAAGCCACATCTGTCATGTTGCGTTGCCCTGGAAGGCACGTGCCTGTAGGACAAAGATGGTGCTGAGTGCTGTGCTTGAGAAGCTGCTTGCTCGCTTGTTGGATTTGGGTGTGAGTTCTTTCCCATGTTCTTACTCTCTGGTGATCGTGAGAGCGTCCTCTCTCTTGTCACCTAGTCCCAGTAACTGAACATAGGCTCCAAGAAGTGCCCTACACACATGTGAATGTGTCTTGGCCTGTGAGCTTGGCCTTTGCCTCACTCGCCTTTCACTTTCCAAATGACATTTGGCCTGCTTCCCTGACACCTAGACCCTCACAAAGCTTAGGGTGAGTCTCAGCTGCAGGGACTTGGCAGCTGAGCGTGCATACCAAACACTAACCAGTCACCTGAGTGCTATCACCAAAGTCTTAATCTATGTCAGTTATATGGAAACAATTACTGGTGGACTAAAAGTATACCTCTCAAATCACAGGTTGCTTTTCACTTGTCATAGCAGAAATTAGCTGTATTCTGAGGCCAGGAT